GAGTCTTTTAACTATTATGGTAAGAAGCTTCTTAGATGCTATCGGCGTGGAAAAATAGGACACGGAAACAGATATTATCGAGCCAAGGAGAGTAATATGGCTCAAAAGCTTGCTGGAGAAGAAGAAGACGGGGGAAAGTGTTTAGTAGTTGAGGCTCGAGCAATAAATGATATGTTTCCATTAACCTTGAAAAAGACTAGATCCATATTATAATATAATGCAGTCAATCAGGTGGCGAAGCAAAATATTAATGTCATCAATATGATGCTAGAAACTATTAGAGATATTCATACTAGTGATATGGTAGCTTCTATAAAAGAAATCAAGGAAATAAATTCTAACAAGCAGTGTTTGGACCTATATATGTTGATGGTGACCTTTATGGAGAAAGTATTGAAGAAGATGTATGAGAAGTTGAAGAGTCTAATCAATCACCAACCATATCGAGGTTAGTCATGGGCTTAGATCAAATATTGGAAGCAAATGTAGATGATGGATATCAAATAGATAGGGAAGCTGAACTTACACGCCAAAACTTATGCGGAGTGTCAGACTATATAACTTTCGAAAGCTCTAAAATTGCTAAACATGTTATTGAAGAAGGGAATCTGGTGATGGATCCTCTTATGGATTTGAAGCTTCAAGGAAATTGATCATCATGACTAAATTAAATAAGGAGGCTTATATGGACGAAAGCTCTTTCTATTATAAAGTTGCGGGTTCCCCAAAATCTTGAACCTTGGAGTTCCAAACTTGCCTATCACAAATTTTTATCAAGATAATACTATTGTGGGGAAGCTAAGAGAAAGGGGAGTTTAGGAACCCCATAAGGAGATAATTTACATGGACTATTCGATAACGAAAAATCTTTATCATTTGAAATATCAGGAGGGTTCTAGAAGAAACTACTAAGATCTGCACCAAGACGTGATTCAAAGCTTCGTCTGAGTTCTTCCGCTACAGTCTACAAGCTCAGGGTTGTTTTCAAAAAATCACTTTAAGGGGGGTGTGCAAGTATAAAGTTGATTTTTTGGAACTACATAAAATCCTAGATTTTTAGGGAAGTTCTAGAATAATCTAGTATAATCAATTGGATAAGTATTTTGGGGAAATGAATTATAGGTGACAAAAAAGAGTTGAAATGTAAAAAGTGTGACTCAAATTTTGACTATTAAGTAAAGATGACAAATTTGTAATCAACTTTTAAAAATAATTGATTTTTTCTTAATTAAGTTTTTATTTTAACAGTTTCATCCAAATTTTAACTAAAATCCTAACTTCTAAAAGAGGAAAGTAAAAATCAGTCTTTTTTTTTTCTTCTTTTAACCTCCCATATAAAGCTCTCATATTTCTCCGACACGATTCTTCTTCTTCTTTTTGTTGTTTTTTTATCGGTATTGCAACTTATTGTAGATTTCTTATTTAAAGAATTTAAGAAGGAAAAATCTCAAATTTTAGATTAACATGTTATTTGAAAAGATATAAGCTTTAGAAATTACTTAACAAGTAATTTTCAATCATTTTAATAAGTAAATAGTATTTTTTTGTGTGTATTATTCATTTGAAATTTCAATTTTCGTATTATTGTTCTTGTCATTGATGTATAATAATTTTCAGCAATTTACAACAATGCTTAAAAAAATTGTTGAAATAGATACTGATGTTGAATATATTTCAGCAACTGCTTAACTTATAACAATTGAGATATTTTAATATAATTTTTTTTCTGATCCAATTTTTTTCTAAGTTATAATATTTTCAGGAGATAGAAGATCAGTAGGGGTTGATTGTCATGGTGAATGGGTTGAGTTCAACTTGTCACCAATTTTAATTTGAAATCTTTTTTGTCGCCTTCCTGTTAATTTTCTCAAGTATCTTGTAGAAATATCTAGATATTCTAGAGTAGAAGTTAATGTCACTAAATTTTTCTTGTAGATGTT